AAAAAAAAAAAAAAAAAAAAAAAAAAAAAAAAAAAAAAAAAAAAAAAAAAAAAAAAAAAAAAAGACACCTCAGTGAGAAAGGATAAAAAGGCCAGAGGTCAAATGCACAGACAAAAAAGAAGGGCAAGGATCCCCATCCCCTACCCCAGTCCTTCTCTCCCTGCTTCTCACTTAAGGCTCATTTGATGCGGGGTTTTTTTTCCCCACTGAGGGAATGATGCCAAATTCCAAAGGGAAAGGACTTCCCTAATCATTCTGTAGGGCTCCCCTATGGAGTCCTAAGAATGTCTTTGAAGGAGATGGGAAGTGATATCTAAAAGAAGAGGCTCAAGGAGAGGAGTCAGCTCTGGGAGGTGGCTCCATTCCCTGTTCAAGGCTGCTCCATATTTCCACTTGTCCCATGAGTACCCCCAGAAACTCACACGGAAATATAGTGAGAAATGAGATTTTGCTTTGCTTATCTGACTTGAAAGATGCATCCTGGTGCCCCCTTTTTGAGTCTTTAATAGATGAAATTTGCCAGCACATGACTGAACATGCATAAGTTCAACTTATCTAAAGGGTGAGGTGGAGCAGGATGGATAAAGGGGAGAGTGCAAACAGGCTCTGGGGTAGGAGGATGGGGACAGCAGAGAAGAGAACAAGAGAAGGGTGGCTCAGGCAGGAGCAGAGTGGGCAGGCCTTGTTCCCCTCACCCAAAGAAAGGATCACATTGAAATGGCCAAATCCACTTTCCAGAGAGTATCTTGCTTTTGGAGTTCTTTAACTTTTCCTCCAATCCCTGCTCCCCTTCTCCCACCAAGCTGCATCCCGGAAGTACAAATTCAAGGCCACATTCCACCACCTGGTACTTTTGGATGTGGCCATCGTGAGCAAAAAGGATGCCAGCCCCTAAGCTGTGTAGGAGGAGCCATGTACTGGGGGAATGAGGGTGCCTAACAGCCATGTTCCAGTGAGATGCTCTCTGCAGCCATACAACCTGAGGTAGCAGCAGGAGAAGGTCCTCTGGCAGAACCACCAGCCTGGCAGGGAGGGAAGTACCTCTTCCCAAAGAAGGGTGTCTAGCGTTCCACTGTGGCATCCTGCCTAAAGCTGATGCCACAGGGTGTCTTAGAGTGGAAAGCCAGTTTGTTTGGATTTGAGTTCCATCTCTCTCCCACTTTTTTAAACTTCTAGAGAAGTGGAAGCATTACTATGATGTGTTCCTAGGTGAATAAAAGAGCTCCAGAGTTCTGGGTCAGTATAAACAGCAAAGGGGAACTAACTGTAACTATTACTATTGGGTGGCAAAACTGCTCATGACCAAAAGCTATGAGCACCCTAATGGCAAGTGACTCCCAGTGCACAATCATCTCAAAGTGGCAAGCCACGGGGGAATCCCATAACTCCGGGCCAGGCCCCATAACTATGTCATGCCTGTAAGGCCAACTTAATGCTGAATACAATTTATGCCCATTATTTCCCTTCCTTTCGAGTATTTCCAAGAGAACTGGGTAGCCGGGCTAATGGGATGATAGAGCTGCATTCCTTAGTTTATCACAGGATGGAAGACACGTTCCTCTTTTCTTCTTATACCTAGAAGGAACCTGTGCCATTCTTATGTCATGGGTGAAAACATTTGTTAAGAGTTTTCCTCTCTCCTAAAAATTTCTTGTTTAAAGGAATTTTCTTTTCTCCTAACAATTCCATGTTTAAAGGAATTTCGGTGTGATTTCCTTAATTAATCTGATTGAAGATACTTCTTTGCACTGATATATGAGCACTGATAGCTGCTTTGCTGTAGGCTTCCTTCTTGCCCATCTATGCCATCCCACAGGCCACCACTCTGCCTCCTCTAAAAGGAAACATACCACTTAGCACACTGCTTGTCAGGTCACTCACTCACAAGAAGCCACACAGTTGTAGAAACACAAAATATCACACAAAAAATCATGGTGAATAGTATTGAAAACCATTCCTTGAATCATCTCATGGGAACCTTCCTGACTCCTGAGTCTCATCATGCCTTTCCTTTTTAGTGCCCTCCTCCGCCTCCCCAGCCTGGCTTCCTCCCCATGTTCTGGCCTCCCCACAACTAGATCCCATTTCCTGTTGGTCTCTAGCCCAGAACAAAGGAAGGGGTGGTCTACCTTATATGCCACTTTGGAGGGACATCTCTTGCCGAGGCCTAGCGGAGGTGACATGAGAGTCAGCATTTCATACATCTCAGTGTAATGGATGCGGCCACTGCTCATGGAGGGTGGTGAGTTGGGATGGGGTGGGTTAGCGGGGCAGGGGGGCGGCAGGGAAAGGAGAAGGATGCAGACAGGTAGGAGAACAGGCATTCCCAGAGAGCAAAAACAAACAAAATACAGAAAACAGGAGAAGAAAAACAAAACAAAATGGACAAACGGGAAAAGAATAGGAAACCTGTTAATCAAGGCAAATCGTAGACATGACTCCATCCTGGTGCTGTTTATATCACGCCCCACACAGACCCGGGAACACTGGTGGCAACCTTCGGTCCCTCTGACTCTCCTCGGGAACGGTCACAGGGACTCATTTTCTCCTCGATTAGTATTCCCCTGACTTCCCTGTTTACTTCATCCCTCCCCAGTACAACACAGCTTATTTTCAATTCCCAGGGCTGTGTGTGAGCGGTATAAACCAGATAGACGGTGCTCCAGCCGTGGGTTGGAGTTTCTGACCCCGGCTGGGGCGCTGGCCTGGAAGTCAGGCTGTTCTCCTCTGAACCCACAGGCGGAACGCCGTGTATCCCCCCTCTGTGGTGTGTGTGCAGCAGGAGGCGGCGTCTTGCGCTGGAGGTGGTGGGCTGTGCTTGCTGCTCAGAGTTGACCCCGTTGCTTCCACCTGGCTCTGTGGACAAGACTGCTCTTTATTCCCCAGCATGTGCCAGGTCGATGGCATGCTGGGGACAGAAAAAACAAAACCAGGAGGAGGAAGAGCATCTTGCATGCCATGCTGCCCTCCCCAGCTCTCCCACATGCGGCTGCGGGTTTCACCAGGGTGGAGTTTAAAGAGTCTCAGCAGAGGGAGCTGTCCAGCCTCCTGAGAATGGAATCACTGTGTCACCATCCCAGGCCGGCTCTATCCCATCGTCCAGGCTGGCATCCTTCCTGAGCCTAGGTCTTCTTCCAGCTGCCTGGGCAGTGCTATGCCCCAGGGAACCTATGCCTCCCTCCACTTGCACCAGGAGAGGGTTTCTTACCTAGCAGGCTTGGCCTTAGACAGGGGCTTAGGAGAGCCACTGGGATATGGAGTTCCCAGGGTATGGCGGAGTTGAACAGGGAGGTCTGCTCACTCCTGAACAATATCCTCAGTCTGACAAGAAGTGACTTGGAAATTATGACAGTGCCCTCAGATCCCTCACAGAAACCCATGGCAGGTCTAAGGCAGGGACTCTGCTGAGTAGCGCTTCATTGACTGTGATCTTCCCAGACCCTCTGAGCGATTACTACCTTCTTCACACAGCACCAAATCCACGCCTCTCTTATACACTCTCACCTCTTGCCCTAATTCTTTGTTTCTCAGCCCTTCTATCCTATAGCTTTCATAGTCATTCTGACCAGACCATCCAGGAGCTGGGAGGGTGAGATCACCAGGACCACACTCCATACGTTACACAGGGGATGATGATGCTACTTTGCTTAAATGAGGCTTCTCTGTCTCCAGTGAAAAGAAGCCAGAACTCTTTGCCAGATTAAAAACATTTCTGCATTCTATAGAGAAAGAAGAGGTTCCTCTGGTTCACTGTGCAGACTAAGGTAGACCTGTGTGTGTGTGTGTGTATACATGTACATACAAACACATACATGAGTGTGTGCATCTGAAGAAGAAAGGGATCACATTGGTCTTCATATGAAGTTCTTAACTCTTCTGCCTTTTCCCCAAAATATACCCTTCTGCTTACATAACAGCTGCTGGTTCTGGAAGGGTTTGGACCTCTTTAAACTCAAAGGAAAGCAACATGAAGGTTCCCTCATGTGGCGCAGTGGTGGTGGAGCAGAGGACAGAGAGGAGGGGTTAGATGTTGCATCCCACGGCAGGTCATGGCTGGGGACTGGGAGGCAAACCTTGCAAGCCACCCTGTAGGGGCAGTTCTCTCCCAGGCCCAGAGGAGGCGAGATCACCCGCACTAATTTGTACATATCCTTATACGGGATCCTGCCGCTGTAAAGGAAGCACAGGTGGGTTAATAGGACACTCGGAGAAGGGTGGGAAAGAAATGACAGCTTAGTCATGAAGAGGATGGCTGAAAGAGGTCAGAGCAGCTTCTTTCCTTGGGCCTGGAAAAGCCAGACCAGGAGAGACTGAAAACAGTAAGCACCAGAGAACCATTACCTTGCCAAACTGCACTGCTGCAATTTTCTAAGGAAATCGGAGCCCAGCCAATGCCAAAGGGAACTGCCTACTGACCAAGAGCACCCCGTGATACCTATCTGGCCCATACCTGGCCAGATGCAGACACAGCCCTGGCTCTAGCTAGGCTTCTAGCAACAAAGCCTGCCAATTCACAAAAGACTCGGACCGCTGTCCAGGGCAGACGCCAGGCTGCCTTGAAGTGGACTGCAGAGCTGTTTGCTTTCCACAGACACTGATTACAGTCAGTTACTCAGACCCGCTTGTCAGGGGCAGTGAGAAGTCAGCGGCTTTCTGCAGTCTGGAAGAGACAAATTTCCCATTAGGCTAATTAGCAAGGAGCACAGTTGGCATGAGGGAAATCACAAAGGGCTTTGCTTCTCTTTGTGACAGATTTTTCTGCGTTCAGCTTGGGCAAGTCTTCTCTACTCGGTAGGAGCCTGCTGAGGTCTGTGTTCAGGGAACAGCCAGGAAGGAAGCCATGGACACTGCCCCCCCCCCAATCCCCTTCTTGCCACCCAGCCCCCTTCCTGCCACCCAGCCCACAGCAGCTTGGCTGGAGCCAGCCAGAATTCTAGGAACCACATGACCTATCTTACCAACCCTTTCCCCAGGAGCCCCCTAGAAAGTTCTGGACTCCTATGGAAGGGATGGAATTAACGATGATGAATTTTCAGTGGCCACAGCATCTTCTCTGTCAGGGGCCAGAAAAAGAAGCTACACCCAGGGATTTGCAGGTCTGTATACGCCCTGACACAGACCAGGGTTTCCACTGGAAATGATAAACACAGCATCTTCACCTCTGTGCATTCAGTCCTTGCTGGCAGCCACGTGGAGGCTGCTGCTGCAGTCCAGCTTCACTCTTGCTGGGCTCTTTGAGATTTCGTGGTTAATTCCTCCTGTTCTTCCAGAGAGCAGCTCATCAGTACCTCCAAGTCTCTCAACTCTTGAGAGGACGTAATTTAGCCAGGTGTTCTTCCATTTTGCCTTAGTGAGATTGGGAAGCAGCTGGGTTGGGAGTGGCTATAGACTCATGTTTTTTTTGCAACTGGTATCAATCCTCCTTTTGAAGATGTTGGCTCACGTGACTTTTGTTAGTCTTCCTTGCCCATCTTATAAAGAAAGCCAACCAAACTCTAACTAGAATGAGTTACACTGTGAACTTCAAAGCACACAGAAGAGATTCTTTGTCTTTTTGTTTTTTCCCAGTCCACATGTCTGAGTCTCATGATTCATCCTCATGGAACCATTTCTTCCCAGCAACTGGAATGAGTAGGGTGGAACATGTTTTATACACATTGCCTTTGGATCCCAAGATAAGTGAAACCACAGGAAGCTGGGGTTTCTGGGAGCGAAGGATACCTGAGTGAGCCCAGATGAACAATGGACTCTTTTGCTCACAGCTGGTTTCTCCTCTTGGGTGAGTAAAGAAGTCCCTTCTTAGGCTCCCAGTCCCATAGATATCCATGGTTACAGGGGCCGATTTTCCAGACATTCCAAGTAGCATTCCTGTGTGGTTATCACCAATTGTAATAACAGTTACACACATGATTTAATGTCATCCTCACAACCACCTTGCAACGTATGTAGGTATCACGGTTGCCATTTTACAGGTAAAGAAGCCCAGAGTGGCTACATGATTTGTCCAAGGCCATGGAGCTGAAGACACGCAGTCCTGGCTGCACCCTCCTCTAACACACTGCCCATCGCTTTCTAAGAGCTATTTACTAGAGAGTAAGACCAAAAAGGAAAAACTGTTGCTCAATCATTGTAATAGGAATGGATTTAGATAACTGTACCCTGTCATTAATTGCTGAAGGAAAGAATTCAGATTCACCCTTCAAGTCTGTAAAACAGTAACTCAAGTTCAACAGCCTCACCAGAGGATAGATTTTTGGGAGAAGTCTCTGATTATGAAGGGGGTTCCAGGTGGAAGCAACTTGGTCCACGCCTGTGAAGGATAATATTTCTTGTAGTATTTTTCAGAGGGGGACCAGAATGGATAGAAGATTGGTGAGTTAAGACCCAAAAGCTAAAATGACCTGGAATTGAACAGATCCTTTGGAGTCAGCATTCATAGAACTCTCACCTTGTCCTCAATCATGAGGGCCAAAATGCTGCCTTTATACTCTAAAGCAGGGATTAGCAAACGTTTTTGGCAGTAATTTTTTTAACATTATAGGTTGGCGCAAAAGTAATTGCAAAAACCGCAATTACTTTTGCACCAACCTAACATTTCTATAGTAAATACTTTAAAATTTGAGGGCCATACTATCTCTGTCACAATCACTCACCTCTTCCTTGCAGTATGTAAGCAGCCAGAGACAATACATAAATGAATGGTTGAGCCGTGTTCCAATAAAACTTTATTTGCAAAAACAGACGGGGCTGAATTTCACCCATGGGATATAGTTTGCCAATCCTTGCTCTAGAGCCTAGAAGGCACACCATCACCTCACAACTACTAAACAGCAAAAGAGACAGTAAAGAGGTTATCTTCTCCAATTCCTACCATTTAATTTAGTTCCATGTAGTAAAAGTCCACAAATGTTTAAGGGAGCAGTTGGAAGAAAAACTTGTTTGGTTTTTTTAAAAAGAATAATTTGAGAGTTATATCCAACTGTATGTGTGAGAGGAATGAGAAAGAGAAAACACTCATAGTCACTGATCATGGCGGCCAGATGTCCAGCTGGCCAAAAACCCTTAACCCCCCTGGTAACAAAGAAGTCCCCTAATCATTGGCAGAAAAAGGAAAGATTATTAGAAACTCCTCTTGGGATTGAACTCAAATAATCTAAGGTAAGGACTGGGTGATGAGACCAGTCCAGAAAGGGAAGAGCCTGTCACAGAAGGAAAGAGAGGGGAAAGAAGGAGACAGAAGACTTTGGTGATCAGCTTGATACCAGAGCCTCTTCCATGGGCCACAATCAAGAGGAATCTCCTTTCCTTCTGTAACGGGCAGGCATTTAGGTGGCTCCAATTCCAACCTCTTCCCTGGGAACTCCAGAGACCTTTGCTCTGGGCCCTGCTGGAGTGGCCAAGGGGCCTACGCACCATGCTGCTCGGTCATATTCTGCCCAGACACGGACGAACTCGTCCAAGTGGTGAGGCCCCAGGATGGAGGAGTCCCGAGTCAGGTACTCAAAGTTGTCCATGATGACGGCCACGAACAGGTTGAGCATCTGAAGAGCAAGGGGAAGAACAGGGGTTAGGGGAAACCCAAAGCAGAGCCCAGGAAGCAGAAAAACAGGCTTTAGGGTGAAGAAAAGAATTCAAAAGTTTGTAGGACACGACTGATCTTGCTGAATGCAACACGTTTTCGTTATCTGTACCATGCATTTCATTGTGTGGGCATTCTTTACATTTCTATGCCACTTCATATTTGCAGAGTACCCCAGTAACTTTTATCATTTATTTAATTGTTACTGTGGCAGCAGAGGGAACAGCAGCAACTACAACATTCTTGAGGGCTAGAGGAAGTCAAGGCCAGATGCCAACCTTCCCTCCCCAGCCTCCTCCTCCGTTCTTGCTCCACAAAAGCAGCCCAAAGAACAACTGTTAACATGTCTTCGAGCCGACAGCATGGCCTACTGCTGTGATGACTTTAAGCTGCTGTTGGCTTTTAAGCACCTTCTAAGTCCCTACTCTCCCACTTAATTTGTTTAGCCAGCCTTTACTGTGCACCTACTATGTTCCAGAGATTTGGGTGCCAGAGATGTGAGATAAGAAAGTTCTTGTCCAGAGGTATATTCCCATGCCTAGCACAAGGCTTACAGCACAGCAGGGCTTCACTAGATGTGGTTACGTGAATGCTCTTCAAGACTTATTTGGTACTTAGGAGGGGCTGTGATGTAATGGAAACATACAAATGTTAAGAGCCATGAAAGAAGCATGTTCAGGTTGCAGTGGGGACAGAAAGGCGTATGAAGGCAACTTCTGGCTGAAGAAAAAATGTATAAGAGTGTGGATGCTTGAGTACTGTTCACCAGATAGACATGGGCATGGAGGAGGGTGTTTTAGCAAAGGAGCCAGCCCAGAGGTATCCAGGGATAGGGAATGGCCAGGCATCTGCAAGGAGGGTGGAGCAGCTGGGCCCGAGTGCCAGATCACAGAAGCATCTCAAACTGAGCTAAAGCGTCTAGACCAGGACCGGTGAACTGGTCAGGTAGGAAATATTTTAGGCTCTGCAGGCTGTGCGGTCTCTGCCGTAACTATTCAGTTTTGCTGTTGTAGCACCAGACAGACCATTTGTATACAAATGAACACAGCTGTGTTCTGGTAAAGCTTTGTTTATGGACACATGTAATTTCCACATGTCATGAAGCATCATTCATCTTTTGTTTTCTTTCCTCAACCATTTAAGAATATAAAAGCCATTATTTCACAGGCCATACAGAAACAGGTGGGAAACCTGATTTGTCCCATGGGCTATAGTTTGCCAGCTGCAGATCTAGACCATTCTGTAGGCAACAGAAACTACTCAAGGGTGGGAACCCAAGGGAGGGTGTTGCGGGACTCCTGCATCTACCAGGGGCAAGATGACAGCACAGACTGGAGTAGAGAGTTAACGAAGGTGGAACCGACAGGGCTTGATGGCCACAGTCAACAGCACTGTCTCTTTGTTTCCTGGCTGCCCCACACACCCATTCACTGTATTTCTGGTCCAGGTTCTTGCCTGTTCCCAGTTAGTGAGATTCAATGGGATGCCCTCCTGTGACCCAGGCCTCAACTAGTCATTAAATCCCATTTCCCTGGGCACAGTGGTCGGTGATCCCATCAAAACCGATAATATGGTATTGAACCTTCTGGGCAAAAGAGTTGTTTTTCCTGTTGCTCTTAAATGTATGAAAATGTGATGTCTAGAGCTGCCACCACGGCCATCTTGAGACATGATATTTGTACTCACAGGGATGCAGCAGGGTGGAGGCAGAGATCTGTAAATAGAGAGAAACCTGGACCTGATGATATCATCTGAGCCCCATATCAAGCCTGCTCTGCCCCAGGACTCCTCATTTACAGGAGCCTGTAAAATCTCACTTTACTTAACCTGGACTTGGCTGGGCTTATTGTCTCTTATAAGCGAAAGGGTCCTGCCTGATAGATACCAACTGGCAGAAGAGCAGGAGTCTCCATTGTGGACCCCCAGGTAAAGCGGCCAGGTGCACAGAGGTGCCAGATATGCAGACAGGGTGTACAGGATAAGGAGACAGTGTGGAGGAAGGACACGGTTGGAGTCTCTCTACAATACGGAGAGACTGCTGGTCACACCTAACAACCAGACTCCTCTCTTCCTTCCTTTCTCCTGCTGCCTAGAGTATAAATGGATGGCTGGAGGTCTAGGTGTCTTCTCTTCCATGAGGATGAGGGACACACCAGAGGTGACACAGCTTTCAAAGCAGGAGTAGGTCTGGGGCCCCAACACCCCTGTGGAGCCACCGTGACCAGACTGCCTGCCTTCCTCCAGGCTTCATGGATGTGGAAGGGAAATCAGCATTCCTCCTGGTTAAGCTGCTGTTATGTGGATATTTCTGTCTCATGCAGGTGAATCTAATTCCAGCATGGGCCTATCATTCTGTTTCTGAGGTTGGAGCCACAGTGAATTGGCTCAACCACTGCCTGGGTTATAAAGGGTTTTCCATGTATCCACACATTTCTTTTGTACTCTTTTCAGGGTACCTATTATTAATGTGAACAAAAACTATTAGCATTGTTACTGCTTTTCATTTGTACAGTCATTAAGAGTGTAGTGTGTGGAGTCACAGCTATTACTTGTTTTTATGCTTGCTCCAACTCTCTGTGAGGCAGGTTTAGTTACCATCACCCATCAAGGACAGAATTCTTTGGATTCATGTTTGTATTCTTAGCTTCCAGCATGAGGCCTGGGACACATGGTGGGGGTATCAGTAAATAGCTGTGGAGTGAATGGTTTGAGTTGAGAAGCTGTGTGACTTGTCCAAGGTCACAAAGTCAGTCTCATATGGAGCCGAGACCTGAAAGCGGATCATCTCATCCTGAATATAGCCTCATTAAAAATAACATTAATGTGAATTATGCAGCACCCTCTGTCTCAAAATTCCAAAAGTACCTTTATGGTCTTTAATTAATTTCCAGTTATATCTTTGGTTTCTTTTAAATATTTATTATGAAACACTTAAACCATGTAAGATAAAACTGAGATGTCCACATGCCCTTCTGTCTGTTCCATTCCACCCTAGCAGTGAGCATCGACTCCTGGAAGCCGGAAGCTGTGAGCCAGTTTCACCCCTTGACTACTGGTGACTGATGGATGGGCCTTGCTGAGCGTGAACCTCACAATGGCCACTCAGTAAAAATGTGCTGAAGATGTGAATCAATGGAAAACTCCCATGATAGCATTATTCTAAATTTCAGGGGTTTTTTCTTTATACATTATACTTCCATATTGATACAGTTGTGTATTCTTTTTACTGAAAAACCTTTCACATACATAAGAAGGAAGTGTATTAAAACATGTGGGTCAGTTCATTGTGTATATAACGCTCCTATTATTAAGTCATTTTTTTCTCCTATTTTATAGAGGCTATAAAAGGGAAAGTGTCTTGGCCAAGGCCAGCAGTGGAACAAAGCCAAGACCACTACATGGGCTGCCCATGACTCCCGCTAGCTCACTCCCTGCCACACTGACCTACAGGCAACACTTCATGGTCTCTCTGTGGCCCACCCCCCGCTCACTGGCGACCTGGATATGTGGGAAGTTTCAGTCCCCTTGGGGTCACTTGAAAGAGGTAGTAAGGCCTGGACCTAAGACAATTAACGCACTTTTCAATGCGTGGCCAGAAAGTGACCACTTTTCAGTGGCATCGCTGTTTTAGTTTTAGGTTTTTGTACAGCCAGTGGTATTAGCAGTGAAGCTGGGCTGAAGAATTTCAGAGTGACCAGAAACACTAAACTGACCCTTTGTTCATTCATTTATGCTGTTTATCATTCCTTGTCTGATATGCAGGCCAGAGGTTTCTGGGTGTGGGTGTGCTGAGTCGTGCTTTCTCCAAAAGAGACTTAAGAGGCACCTAGGGCTTCTCACCACTTATAGGTGGGTGCTCCACCTATCCTACTCAATATTTACTGACACCCAAAGCAATCAAGCAATCATATCTTTTCTCATCTATCAAGCTGGTCCATAATCATCAAATGTAATAACATTACAAGTTAAGAGAGAACCACATTTATTCCATTATCATCATTCTACTCTTATCAATGCTATAACCTTACATTTTTCAACGTACCTTTTCTCAAGCAGTTAAAGAGAAGATATTCATAGCCCTACTTAAAAGATAAAGCACCTGAGGCATGACAAAGAAAGGATTTACTCTGAGTGTCCACTGGTTCAGCATGAAGCTCAATGCACTGAAATATGCTCACCTTTCCTTTCCACAACAACCTTTCCCTAGAAGCAGCAAAGACTTTTCTCAACCACTGGAAGTCACCCACCCAGGAGTCTGACAGGCACTCTAATCTCCAAGAGTTCTCCACCGGAGGCTCTAGCTCTTAACATGGGCATGAGTGTGAGTGTGCATGGTGGGGCAGTGGAGAGAGGGGAGGAGGAGGGGAGGAAAGCACGAACATACACTGAAGCAAACATCTCCTATTTATCAGAAGGGTTGGGAGTAGGAAGGGATGGGCCACATCTCAAGGCAAGAGCACACCATTGCTCACCAAGAAGGAGCAGAAGAAGATGAAGGAGACAAAGTACACGTAGGCCAGATCGGTGCCACAGCGCTCGTTCTCATTCTGCCCTGATGGTGCGGTGGTGTCTGGCTCACAGCCCTTCTCCCCGAGGCAGGACAGCATGATCTCCTGCCAGGCCTCACCTGTGGCACTCCTGAGCCCGAGAGACATCGTGGTTAGCAGGAGCGGGTCTGCAGATCCTATCACATCCTTGGTCCTCCTTCCCAACTCCCCCATCCCTTCTCTTGGCCTAGGCCCAACAGAATCCCTTGTTACCCAGTTGGCCCTCTCTAGTGCTTTCCATGCAGAGATAAAGAGTGCCACTGAGGTCTCTTTTGGGTTCTGCTACCCCATCCACTGCCTCTCCATCTTCTGTGGGGTCTCTGCTACTAGTCATGGGATACTCTAAGACCCCACATAAACCTGGTTATCCGAAGTTTCTGCTCTTAAGTGGAATTTGGTCTGCAGACACTGTCCTCACATCCCCCCTCCCAAACCCTTGCAGGCCATGGTGAAGTTAAAATTTGCAAATTAACTGCTGAGCCAAAGTAGTTAATTGATGCAATTTTCTCCCACCCAAGTATTTACCAGACCCAACCCTGCTTAGCTTCCAAGATCAGACAAGATCAGGCACATTCATGGTAGTATGGCTGTAGACAAGACAAACCTTTCTAATGTTGTAGGGGCAGTTTGGCAAAGGCACTGCCCATTCCCCCTTCTACTGACAGGAGCAAAGGAAGCAGAATAAAGATGCAAGGGGGAATGAGAGGAACAGGCAGACCACCTCTCTCTCCCTCCATCAGGAGAACTCCAGCTACAACAGTTACGCATCCAGGTACCTGAACAGCAGCATTAGGGACCCAAAGAAACTCCGGAAGTTGTTGTGCCGGTTGATGTGACTCTCCTCATCTAATTTTATGTTTCCAAATACCTTAAGGAGAGAAACAACAGAAAACAATGAGCATTACCGAGCTGTGTGATGCGTCCAGCACATGGGGGTTGGTGAAGCCACGTGCATGGCTTTCTGATAACCTACCCCTGGAGCAGACAACTCAGACCCAGAGAGCTGCCAGACACTGTGCTCTGCGCTGATCCATAAGAATAATTATCCTCCACTGCTCCAGTGCCGCAAGGGGGACCCAAGCAGCAAGGTCCGAGCATAACGTAGATTACAAGCTCTTTTGAAGTCATTCTGCCTGTACATAGTTCCTCCCGCTCTAATCTGGTCTTTTTATCTCCATGGTACCTGTCACCATGGTACTTAGTCTGTCAAAGACAGTATCTCACAGCAGGACTGCAGGGAAGGAGTTACCCCTTTCTTCCTGTCTCAGGTGGTCATAATGGGAGCATTTGAATTTGCAAGAAGACATCATTTATGATTTGGGCAGATGCTACCCTGGAATTTACAAGCAGTTCAGGTCAGAGAGGGCGTCTCTATCTTCCTTAGATGTGTTTCTATCCAGAAAGTCACATCTTAGAAGGTCTGTATGTCATTAATGTAGAATCCATGACAATGAATACACATATATCGATGTGCATATGTCTACACATGTCCACATGTATTACTCAACAGACCCAAGTCCCATCTAAAAGTGAACATTTATGCAGGAGCTGAAGCAAAGTCCAGTCCAATAGGATGGAGAAAGTCGGACCAACTGGACACTTTGAAAAGGAAAACAGAAAATGGCTTTGGGCAGATTCTGGGTGACAGAGTGATGTTTACTGATCTGCTGCTGGCAACTGAGCTTAGAATGTGATCACTGTGAATATTCCAAAGAGGGAACACTCAGAGATATTTATCCACAGAGACTGAATAATGATGAACTCTCAGACACAGTGCTGTCTGGGGCCGAAGTCAACCCCTCCAGTCTCCAGATGAAAAGGAGGCTTTCACACATATACTCTCCTTCCCAGCCACATTTCAGGTATCAGGACCTGTTCTCACAAGTCAATGCTGGTACTATCGATGGCTTACTGGGTTACTTTTCCAGCCATTTAAGACAATTTTCAGCCTGCAGTGAACATGCTTCAGTTTATCCAATGTATGCTAAATGGAACACATTTTCCCCCTCACAGTTTTTACAATGTGCAATTGAGGAACAATCTCTGCCCCCAGCTATTTTGCTCAGGTAACTCCCACTGACACCTGCTCTGGAAATTTGTTCTCAACGCTGTTTTTCAAAACCCAAATACTACTTGTCTCTCAGGGAGAATGGAGGTGGCAATCGAGGCAGCAGCAGAGAAGAATGGAAAGAGGAGAAGGCAGAGGGCCCCAAAGAGACAAATAGTAGCATTTAAAAAATCCCACCCAAGCAATCAAATCTAGTTAACTCTTGATCCCCCAGGAGGGCACTGACATTTATCCTTGCCCTGTTCACATTTCTGGCCCTCTCCTTTCTTTTTACCCTCTTGGTTTGGAATTCATGATTTATCCCCTGAGTCATCACAGACATACAACTTACAGTGTCTTTTTTTTTCCCTTATGACACTCCTGGAGCTATCATGAGTTGTATTCAGTATGATTTTCTCAAACACCTCATCCAATCACGAATTAATTGGAGAACGCATTGTGATTTTGCACAAAGTATGTGTGTAATAGTCCAAGAAACCAAAGCTATTTTGAATCTAAGATAATTTAAGTCAAGCTGGACGTGGTGGCTCACACCTGTAATCCCAGCACTTTGGGAGGCTGAGGTGAGAACACTGCTTGAGCCCAAGAGATCAAGACCAGCCTGGGTAACACAGTGAGGCCTTATCTCTAAAAAGAAAAAAAAAACAGAAAAAACAACAAAAAAAGATAATTTAAGTCAAAAACGTGTATTGTGAAGGAGGTCTTAAAATTTTTTCAACTTTTCACTTACTCCTTGTCACTAACTTAAATGTCCATCAATAGGGTATGAAAGAGAAAGAAGGGATGCTGAGGCCCCATAGAAAAATCTCACTGGTATAGATTTAAATCCATTTCACTTGGAATCACGGAATGTTAGCACTAGAAGAGACTGGCGAAGGTCTCTAACCAACACCTCCACTGAATTAATGAGGGAGTTATGGTGAAAAGAGATACAGTGATTCACCAAGTTCACACGGTTGTTCAGTGAAGGAGCTGAGGCTGACAATCCTGCTTCCTAACACCATGTAGCCACAGGGCTCTGTCTCATCCCCAGCAAGTTACTCCTTCTTTCTAACTTCTGATTCTTCTACAAAGGTCCCATTTTCCAAGGAGCCTTTGAAAGTTTGGAATAATAATGGTTTTTCTCATAGATACACCCTGTTACTATTTATATCTTTCCAAAAGCTTGTCCCTTGCCCTTTTATTTGTATGAATCCCTCAGTTTTGTTGTGACTATATCAGATACAGTGTCTCTAACAACAAATCAGGTGTCTGCTCCGTGTTTGATGCTAGGTGTCATCATGGATCAAGATAGGGATGGCCAGCTTAAAGCAAGTCAGAGCAGAAATGCCATTCATGCCTCTGTGGAATGCACATAGTGCTCTTATCTTTTGGAAAGAAATCTAAAAGGAATAAGATATTAGACTGTACAGTTACTGTGAAGACTGCAGTTTCATAACTGAACAGCTCCTACCTCCAATGAGAGGGTTAAAAAAAAAAAAAAAAAAAAAAAAAAAAAAAAAAAACTTGTGTTTCCTTGTCTGGTGGGAAGAGAGACGGTACAGAGTTAAGAACATGGCTAGGGAGCAGACAGGGCTGAGCTTACAACTCACCTCTTTCACTTATTGTCTGAGAGCTCGAGCATTTTATAAGTTACTTAACTGTGCTAAGCATCAATGGAGACAATGAAACACATATAAACGTTTTCACATTACTCAGAAACATCAGGCATGTATCTTGCCTGTGCATGCTCGCCCTCTCTTCCTCTCATTCTCTCCCTTTTTCTCCGCCTTCACTCTCTCTCTCTCTCTGCATACATTTGTTACAGTGTCTAGTACACGAAGGAATTTAAATAATGGTGAATAGCATTATCACCATTACCAGAATCAACAGTATTCATACCGGATCAGTATTGGAGATGGTGTTATTCTAGTTTATTTTGTTTGAAGATGAAAAGGGGTAAGAACTATTTTGAGCATGGGCAAAAGGAACTTAATTATATCCAGACAAGAAGAATTATAATGTTCCCAACACAAGTAAGAGATAAACGTTTGAAGTGATGGATACCCCAAATACCCTGATTCGATCATTACGCGTCGTATACAAGCATCAAAATATCGCATGCACCCCAAAAATATCTACAACTATTACATATCAATAAAAAAATAAATTTTGAAAAAACAATTTCATTTAAATCAAGCTTTCGTTTGGCTCTTCAAGAATATTTTAATTCTGGAATCAGATATATTGGAGTTAGACAGGACTTCATGGAAGTTACCAAGCAAATCTGAAACTTCAGCAGGAATTCTGTTTCCAACACTGTCAATATCATCATTAAATTCCTACTGAAATATCCTCAGTGAAGGAGAACTCACTACTTCTCAACCAAGTCTCACACATTTTGACACTTGACATTCTACTGTATTTTTAGAGAACAAAATTACCCAGTAATAAAGAATGAAACCCAGAAGTACTGGCAAGAGGGAAGAGTGAAAGGAAGAGATGTTTCAGAAAGGCTCTGGAAAGGGCTGCAGATACAGCACGGCTGGGACACCCCAGCAGCAGCTCCAGGTGGCAACACAGTTGGGAAGGCAGCCGGCAGGCTCAAGGCAGCCAGACTGCCTGACTGCAGGGGGCTGTCACATAGCTGAAGTTCTGTGCTGGGATCCAGTCACAGTATCTCCAAGTCAGAAAGTCAGCCCTCTGGAGACAAGCAGAAAGCCTGTGTCTCCAACCAGATAGGTTCATGGAATGTGCTGCTGGTTATTTACAGTAGGAGTTCACCCACCACGAACAACCATCATCTTTGAAAGAGGCTTCGGCTTCTTCTGCTTAGCAGGTCTCTGGCTACCTGCATAAATACCTGGGGTGGGAACCTGATCTGCTTCTTAAATTATGAAACTGGACAAAGTGTGGTAAAACAAGGGAACTGTCCAGCAAGTTGCATGGCCTCATTAGCTGGAACGTGGCCCTTGAATCTCCCTAGGAATGAGCAGGCTGCCAGGAACTCTATGAGTTGTTCGCAACGATATGTCTTAGGGCATAAATCTCAGCCAGTCAAGACTGTGTAAGCAGAAGACTCTATGAGACTATATGTGGAGATTTGGTGTCACCACATACAGGAAGAACTAACATCTAACCTCCTTTTAGGCCAAGTCAAAATACCAGAGATCCTGAGAAGAAGATCCACATGAGCTCCCCCCCTCAGTCTCCTGGGGGATCTTTTTGGCTAAGCACAATGGTGTCGTCTTTGCTTTAGTTCTATGGCTGTCACCACAGAGGCCCAGCTACTTATGGTTTAGCACCATGATCTGAAAACCTGAGATGGAGCCCCTGTACCAGACTTTCCTGAATACTTAGGCATGCTAAATGGGGAGCCACTGCACATGTGAAATTCTCAGGGTCACACTGGACAAGACCTCGGGGGAGCACCCTTAGGCAAGAAGGGGTTGAAAGCATCTTCAGGTCTTGCATGCCCAGGTTGCTAAGCCAGAGATTATCTGGGTAACAGCTGTCCCCCACCGGGCCCTTGTTTTACCAGCTCACCTGCATCCCAATGATGGCATAAATGAAGAAAAGCATGGCAATTAAAAGGCAGACGTAAGGGAGGGCCTGGAAGAAAAGCAGAGATAAGATGTTAATCAAAGAAAGGCAGCACCCAAGCTCCACAAACTGCATTCACCAGCAGTTCAGATCCACCAGGAGGCTAATGCAAACAGACGCCTGGGACTCCCTCTTCCCTGGGGCTGTTCCATTTTGAGGTGCAATACTCTCTCAGGTATCCTTGTCCTCTGACAGACAGGTAAACAGCTGGCCAAAGAGAGGTTTACAATTTACCTCTATCAGGAAGATTCACTCACCCATAAGTATAGCCCATATCTAGAAGGAGAGCTGGGAAAACTTCCTGGGCTTGGGGTTCCTCCCACTTGCTATGCAGAAAATGAATAACCTAGTCATTGTAATGCAAATTAAACACTAGGAACCTAGCTTTGGCTTCCAAATCCCCCTTTATTACCCCCTCCCACTCCCATACCCAACGTGGCACCCATAATGAAAAATCTGGAATCAAAGTGAAATGACTGGGGTCTCACTTGTTTGTAAGTTCCTAGAAGGCTCATTCATCTTCTGATGAAACATTATTTCCCAGTGTTTAAGCCTCCTGACGTTTTATTATGTTTCATGCAAAAGCCTGTTAAGTTAGCCACCCAAAAACCCTGCCATGAAGCCATGTGGCACAAAATTCCATACTGTGCATGCTTATTGCTGCTTTGCGATAACATTTTAATTGTAGAGGTCAGGGTCAAGGTAAGGAGATGTGAGGCAGAGAACTACTTGGTGCTGGAGGAGGATGGGGACAGAGGCAGTTTGGATCTGGGGTCAGAGTGGGACACTGTAATTTTGTAGTGATCTCAGTGCTGCCAGAGAAGTCCCTCTTCTTGGCAGACAGTGCTACAAGGAGTCTCCACCCTGTCTTGATTGTGCACACCACGAATCCCAAGAGATCAATTGAGGCTTTCAGACCACATGAGCAGGGCAGAGCTCTTCAACAGCGCTAACAAAATGAGGAGCCCTGTGAGACTGTTTACAACTTGAATAGAGGCTAAAATTAAAATGCAGCTGAAAGCGGGTGGGAGAATTCCCGCTCCGAGGAAGTGTTGATTCCTAGGCTCTGTGATGAGGGATGGCTGCCCTCTGACGGGCAATGTGGACCTCCTCTACAGAAGGCCGGAAGGAAAGAGACAGGGCTTCTTGCACCTGCAGTGCTGCTGCCTTCCATCTTTGCCTTCCGCCCTTGTCTTGCCCTCTCCACTCCAGTCCCTGGTTATCTCTTCCTACTCCTAACTTAGGGAGAAAGCAAAAGAGTCATTCTGTTTTCCTTTCTTGTCACGTTATAATTTCTAACACAACATAAGGGGAAAGAGGGAAGAACTCTAGAGTAGGGGTCAGAGGTAGCAAACTGGATGCTATTTAGGGGAGGGTGGGGAAGGTGGAGGCAATGGAGATGCTGTTCATATTGTGTGGCTCTCCGCTTTGTATTTGCAGGGGTTGCCTTTGCTAATCTTTCAAAAATCTAACTTCTATGCTGTGTCCCAGAACTGCTCTGAAAAGGAAACATCTATCTACAATGCAGTGTCACCTCGAGGCAGATTCACCTGTCTTCCCTGTTCTCTGTGGTATTTGCTGGAATAAGCCAACCATTTGGCCATCAATTTTTGACAGCCTTTTTTTCTTTGCACTCAATAGTATATGGTTTCTCAGAGACTTGGTGATTGTGATAATATGACAGGATGACACATATTTCTTAAGAGACTCAGTAACAACTGAAGTCTGTTGGGCAATCCTCCGGAAAAAAAAAAGGGGGGGGTTTTAAAGCATCTTGTGTTTCCAATTCTAAATCCAAAATCAACTGAGACTCAGAAAATTCTTGCTAAGGTTTTAGATTTCTCCTCTGTTTCTAACTTTAGAAAAATAGTTTTCATTGAGGTGAGGTCTCCATGGGAGTCATTATGCCAAACAATTGCTCTGGATAGGATAAAAATGTCAAGGTTGCTCCTAGGAGCCAGAACACCCTTAACATTGATCTCACATCTCAAACTCCCAGGTCCTCGATGAAGAAGTAAATCAGTAATGATGGATGTGAGCAGAAATCCTTTTCCAAGTGATGAGAAACCATTAATTCAATTCCTTGCCTTCTTGAGCTTAATTTTTAATTAAACCATATAAATAACTAATATAAGGCAATTTGGTGAATTTCTCATCTTTGAGTGACTTAATACCATCAAATTTATTTTTAAACACATTCATTGAAAAACTCATTTTAATAAGAACAGGCATTTGAACAACACTTAGGTCTTTTCCCCAAAGCTTAAAAACAACTAATTTATGACATTTGCTAGAGTCCAAAGATACTTAAGTATGCTTAGGAAACTTTTACTGGAAGTCTGGGTCTCAGTTGTCAATTTTTTACTTATATTTATTACATATACACCTCTTTACAGCCCCCTGAGGCTGTTCAAAAGAAACACATCCTATTAACCTACACAGATGTTTCTATTTATTTGTAGGACACAGAGGTGACCATCAGTATACCCTATGTTCAGTGGCTCAGGAAATAAATATGATAAAGACAAAGGTGGGGCTAAGTTTGAATCATCTGTCTATGAAACGCAACTCAATGAGTACTTTGAAAAACTGTCATGTGAAATAAAATCACCATAAGTCCCTGAAAATGCAGACGACATCTGACTACAGATGACGGGCTATTAAATGGATGGGGTTACTCAGGACCATCTGGAATCTCTAGGGATGAGGCACACCTTGTAAACATGTCCCCTGCCTCAGCAGACAGAGAGGACATCTGAGTCACAAAGTCTAGGTGTTTTTCTGAAATGAGATGCTATCCAGCAGACATAAACTGACCCCAGGCAAGCCAAGCTGTGCTGTAAGTAAGAGGTACGGTATCTACTGAATGCTTCTAACAAACACGCATTCTACTAGCTTCAGCTTCCCAGAGGGGAAGGCACTCAGGTAATGATGCCAGTGGTGCCTGGCTATGCTGTCTGACATGACAACCCTGAGAGGATTTGCTGGTACCTCTTACCTTAAAGGACTGCACAAAGGTCCACAGCAAAATGCGTATGGTATAGCCCTGACGCAGGAGCTTTATGAGGCGGGCAGCTCGGAAGAGCTTCAGAAAACTCATATTGAAGCCACTGGTGTTCACCAGCTGGTGGATCAAAAGGAAACATATAATTAGGAACATTACGGTCATTTAGAAAAACCTAAGCACGAGTATTTGTGTATTTATCCCTCATTCCGATAAATGGGACACAGTCTCTGTCTTTGCTAACCCCACTTCCAGCCGATGGGCTGGCCAGTGAGGCCCACCTCCTAAGCCTTCCCATGCCTGCTCTCTATCCCCAGGTGGAAGGGTAAAGGAGGTACCTGAGAAGGGTACCCTGCACACAAAACCAGCCTCTCTAGTCTTCTACTGAGAGAAGGGACCTGAAGTCTGCACTTAGATGCCAAAAACAGCAGATCTAGGAATCCCTCTAGCACATGTTGGCCTCTAATATTCAAAGTGAGTTACCACGAGCTCTCCAAGTCGTCTTCAGAAGGGACAAATTTACGGAAACAAATCAGGTCTATAAACTTTGAGGGCAAAGATACTGTGCCTCCTCTGAGAGTCTAGTGGAATTGAAACACACTAGCTCTCTTCTGACACCATCTATTCCACCTACCCTATTAGATGTCTGCTACCCAAGTCATGCAAATCAACAAAGCCTTCAGGAGAGCCAGTGCCACTCCCAAGTTTGCATTCCCTGGCTAAAGCTGAGCAGCAGCGAGGGAGTACATTCCCAACACTTAGGGGGTACCCATGTGCTGTGGTGGGTTAAAAATGGACTGAATGTACAGAGGAGTTTTTAAAATGCTGCTCCAGGACCAAGCTTACAGACATGGATCGTATAAGCCATTCACCTTGCTGTCTGTCAGGATAATTTCTGTGATACTGCCAATCACGGTGATGAAGTCAAAGATATTCCAGGTGTCTCGGAAATAGTTCTGCCGAATTGAATTCAGTCATAGGAACATCAGAAAAAGGAAAGAAAAAAAAAAAGGACAAATGACATCTTCCATTATATAACTTTGTTTGTCACTTGGAAATAAAACTTGTCAATTCATGCATAAGTTCACTCTTACTTTGGCTTCAGTTTCCCATTTCTAACCAGAGATGCCATTTCTCCTTTACTAATCTGGGAATTTCTCATTTGGAAAGCACTTCCATCACTATTTGAAGACTTTATTTTTGAAACTGTCACCAAAAGCTCATATGTAAAAAAAGAGTTTTTTTTTTTTCAATTTTTATTTTTAACAAATATTTATGTATTTATTTAAAAATCTCTTTATGGAGGCACAATTGACAAAAAGCTATCCATATTTAATGTATATATCTTGAGTCTGGGATACATTTGTACCTGTGAAGCCACTGCCATGGTCCTACAGCTATAACTTTTAAATTATTTATATTGTATCAAGTGCCCTATAAAATACAGTCTGACTTACAGCTATCAACAAAGGTGACCCAAGTCATAAGTCACTAAAGGTTACAGATGTGCTGAAAATCTCCTTCTAACTCCATTGAGCCTTTTCAAACCAACTACTGATTGGTAAGAGGATGAACAGACTTCATCTTTCCCCTCCTTCACTGCTGTTACAGCTTCTGAGGAGATGTAGCTAAGTACAAGGAAGCAGTAATAAAATGAGTGGGCTGAAGGTGACATAAAGAGCCTGGAAAATCCACCAACCAGATAACACTCCATTTCACAGACGAGGGAAGACTATGCGTCCATCTCCTAGGCTCAGATGAACACAGACCTTAGACTATTCTCCTTTAAAAACGAACATACAAACAAACAGGACACGCGCATCTCAAAAAAATTCACTTGCTTGCCCCTGGGACATTTAAGGGCGGTCTGTAACACAGAAAGCAGAGATTAAAATCAACAGACTGCAGAAATCCAGAGAAGACAAAGAAAGTACAAGGAGGAGAAAATTTCAAACATCTGTAATTGAGATCTTCAGCAAGACCACAGGACAATGGATTATTTTATTCTATCCTTGGAATAAAAAACAAGAGACTCTCAGAGCAGTGCAGAAGTACACCCCTTCCCAGCCTCAAAACTAGCATCACTGCATTCCTACTACATGAGCCAGATGCTAGACCAGGGCTTTGGCCATCTTTCAACTGATTTATTCATCTCACGGAAACTAGAGGCAGGGAGTGACAAGTACCCCAGGTTTGTAGAGTCCTGAATGGAAGAGTTGGCAAGAGGAGTGAGGGGAAAATATCCAATGAAGAGAGGAAAGGAGTGTAGGGAGACAGGAGTTACATTTAATGAGCATCCACTGAGAACCTTATGAATGTCATTTAATTGGATACCTACAACAAAGAAGCTAAGGTGGCTACTGTTATCCTTATTTTATGCATGAGAAAACGAGGCTGAGAGAGGGCTTATTCCAAAGCCACATGTACCTAGGGGGCATGTGGAGAAACTGAAGCATACAGTTTCATAAACTCACTTTCTGTTAGTATATTTAGTCTATCAGTGGTAGAGCTAAACTAAGTCTCCGAACCCCTCAATTCTCAGGGCTCTCCTATTGTCCAACTTGGGGTGAACTTCCTAATTCTTGGTTTTAATTCTTCTTAAATCTTGGTGCATGGATCTAGGTCTCAGAGAACCAGAAGCTCTGGATTCCAGGGAAGGATGCTTTACGATACAGAAGAGCATGCTGTGGTACAGACTAGCACACAGTGGTATATGGCACACGCTAGTATAGTGTAATGTAGACTAATAGATTATTGTGAGCTTTGAAGCCAGATAGAACAGGGTCTGAATCCTGGCTCTACCTCTTACTAACCTTGGCCAAACTATTCAATCTTTCTGAGCTCCAGCACATCCATAAACGAAAATAAGAATGCTTATCTACAATATGTAAAGCATTTGGTTCTTAATAGGCAACCAATGCATGTTACATCCTTCCCTCTTTTTCTCTTCCCTTTTTATTCCCATTCTGCCTTGCAGTTCTATTGCCTTTCATTGTGTAATCTTTAAGAATATAGACAATTTTTCTGCATTTCAATTTCCTCATTTAAAATAACAATAATAATGGCAATTATGACAGTGACGTCTGCCTTGGCTATTTCAGAGTCATTGAGAAGGTCTAATGAAATAGTATATATTAGGATAGTCTGACAGCTTAGAGTACCTTAACAATGTAAAGACTTATTGGAATTAGTGGTACCTTTTATGGTGTGAAAATGCCTCTAGACCATGAATGAAAACATGGGCGTAGGGTGGGAAGGAGGCAGCCTTCGAGGGCTGAATTTAGTTAAGGCTGTGAGTATATATTCAGCACTCACCATAATTAGACATATAATGGGACTTAAGTCACAGACAATGTCAACACCACATACAAGTAATCAACACGCATAGAAAAACTTTCCCTGCTGTGGTGCTGGCTTCTCCCTCTCTCTCAGCTCCTCTTGTCAGGGCTAGACTGTCTTATAAAGGCATCTTTGTTGGTGGTAGTTTCTTCTACTTTTTTACTTCCCCAAGTCTCAAAACACTCAAAAGAGAGTCAGGCAAACACAATGCAGCCACCTGCAATTGGTTCCCTTAAACTCTCCACCCAAAATGATCAAATTAATAGTTTTTCAAAGAACCCCTGGGAGGCCAAAGGCAGCCCCCGCAGTCACCACTCACAATTATCCAACTCAGCCCAGAGTCCCTGCTAAAGCTGCTAGCAGACAAACACTGATTCAGATAACGAGCAAAGTTCTCCTTCTTGCCGAGAAAGCCGTATACACACGTAATTAGAAATGATAGCTCATGCCCTAAAAGTGCGAAACAGCTGTCACGTGGGCTTGCATCCCAGTGAACTCGCTGCACACACTGAAGCAAGGTGGAGGGAGGGTGGCAGAGGGGATTATCTTGTTTATAGGACACTGAAGCAAAGGGCTAGGTTTTCTTGACACTCTTGAGAACAGATGCAAGAATTTTCCAAACAATTATTAATAGTAGTTGAGGAGAAGAAAAAAGAAGGCTCATGCCAGAAAAATTCATCATCCCCAAACCCCCTCCAACTTAATTCCAGGATCCTTCCCCTTGCACCCCACAAACACACACACACACATGCACACACACACTTAAAGGTCGTTAGTCTTTATAGGCATAAGTAATAATTATTGTGGCACACATCTTTGTTTTCTAGCCTATGCACACACAAAGGTAAAGACTGCATCTTAAACACCTTACATATGTCTTCCGGATCTCTGTGCCTCATACCTGGGCCTTAAACAGTGCTCAGAAAAATGTTTGTTTAATGGCTGAATAATTACTTTTCCCATCTTCTCTCTATAATTCTTAGTCAAGTTAAGAAATGCAGTCCTTCCTTACAATGCTGGTCCAAGAATCTCTTACAGTCCCTCTGGCAGAAATTACTCTTCATGTTACAATGGCAGAAGGACTAATAGGTAAAATGTATTATTTGCTATGTTTGAGGCTAAGAGGGATAGGTACTTTCCCATTTGTGTTATAAAACTATTACAACTTTTACTGGTAAATAAGCAGTCAAAGTTCATTAGTCCAAGCTTTGGCTGGCTCCTTCATCTACACATAAATTGCAGTTCTGGTAAAATCCAGTGATGGCCACCTCTGGACTGCTGACAGAAATTTCACAGCACGAGCGCTGATGGCTCCATGAGCATGAACCTGGGACGTGGTTTTCTTTGCCCTTTCTCCCAACTTGCTCACACATCGTCTTGTCTCTACGGTAGTTTATTTAGCTGACAAAATGAGCCCACATCTAGATGGGTGATTTTTGGAACAGCAGTAACCACCTCCCTTTCAACGCAGGCTGAGAAGGCACCCAACAGAAAGAGAAAGCCCGGTGCTGGGAAGGATTCAGCAACGTACCAAAAAGCCAAAAGCGATGACCTTCAGGACGCATTCCAGGGAAAACACCATGGTGAAGGCAATATTCAGGTACTTCAGCGCCAGCTCATAGGTACAAGGAGCAGAGTAATACTGCCAGGAAGAGAAATGGAGAGAGGAAGAATCACAGCCTTAAGGTAAGAGGGGGAATGCATGTCACCGAGGCTGGCCATCTCTCATTCCTGCCCTGTGGGACACTCTGGTGTGTGGTGCAGGAAGAGAGATGGACTTCGAGGCTGGAGAGGAGAACTACATATTCTATGCAACACAACAAAGGAAACACAGGCCCACACCCCACCTAGATGACTTAATAGCAAAACAGCCAGTCTTCCTAGAGATGAGGGTGGGCAGGGAAGAAATGTAGAAATGTTTTCTTTTCTTTTTTTTATTTTTTTGAGATGGAGTCTTGCTCTTGTCACCCAGGCTAGAGTGCAGTGGTGTGATCTCAGCTCACTGCAACCTCTGCCTCCCGGGTTCAAGCAATTCTCCTGCTGCAGCCTCCCGAGTAGCTGGGATGACAGATGCATGCCACCACACCAGGCTAATTTTTGTATTTTTAGTAGAGATGGGGTTTCACCATGTTGGTCAGGCTGGTCTCAAACTCCTGACCTCGTGATCCGCCTGCCTCAGCCTCCCAAAGTGCTGGGATTACAAGCGCGAGCCACCGCGCCTGGCCATAACATTTTCTAGAGTGAGTTACTGGAGTTAGTCACTTAGTATTAAATAGGATGAGCCTCTCCGAATACTCCAAGGCTCCTTTAGACCCCATGATGGTGATCTCTGTCTCCTGACTTTTCCACGCTTGTCTGAAGCTGCCTCCCATTCCCATCTCAGGTCTCGCGAGCCCCTGGATGGCTACTATAGGCTTCGCTGCATTTTGGTCAGTGGACTCCCAAATCCCCAGAGACTGGGCTGTTGAACAAAACAAAATCACAAAAGGATTCCATGATGGAAAAGTAGGTAAAGCAGTGACAGGCTGGGACATCGGGGTGTCTTCCCAGTTGCCCTAGGAGGGAAACGGTGCTGGGGCTCAGCCGGCGCTCGTGCGTCTCGTCTCACCTTCATCATCAGCACGACGGTGTTCAAAGCGATCATGGCCATAATGGTGTACTCGAAGGACGGGGACACCACAAAGTGCCACACGCGGTACTGGAAGGTGTGCCTGTTCTGCGGCATGTAGCGGGTGAGAGGTTTGGCACTGATGGCGAAGTCAATGCACGCCCTCTGCGAGAAAGCCACGGTTATTAGTGCAGGTTCAAATCCCTTAGTCCTTGCACTGTGGCAGGCTGTGTTCCATGCCCAGAAGTGGAGGACGGTGAGTGAGAAAGAGGGCAGGGCTGGGCAAGTAAAGATGGCAACTGGGGTCACCTGGACAAAACTATAGACATGGCATCGCCTTAAAGAAGTACACAGAACTGGAGGTGTTTCACATGGAGTCAAGGCTTCATGGTTATAGTCCTTTACACAGCATGCGGCTGAGCTTTTTCGGCAGGAAGCCTTCCTTGATGCACTAAGTCAGAAGTAAAGATCTACCTACCTAGGTATTTCTATAGCACTTTATGTCATAGTTCTCTTATAGTCCCTAACAGTTTCTAGTTCAGTTCTATCACTAAAAAAAAAAAAAAAAAAAAAAAAAAGCTCTGAAACCTTACCATGTGCCAGAACTATGCCCATTGCTAGAAAAGTTGTGATAAGACACATTCCCTGCCCTTACAACGAATACGCCCAAGGAAGGTCACAGTCAGAGAAGCAGGTATTTGATGTTATTATTGTGACACACTTCTCTGTTTTCTAGACTATGCATACACAAAGGTAAAGACCGCCTCCTAAACATCTTACGTATCTTCCAGATATCCGCGCCTCATACCTGGGCCTTACACAGTGCTCGGAAAAAATATTTATTTAATGGCTGAATAATTACTTTTCCCCTCTTCTCTCTATAATTCTTAAGAAAATGCAGTCTTCCTTCCTTACATTGCAGGCCCAGGAATCCTTCCTGGAGCCCCTGAAGCCCCCGACTTCAGACCAATTGTTATTACCTCGTTCTTCTCCAGGCTGCACTCCTCCATCATCTTATCCCCTTGCTCCTGGAAGGTGATGATGATGAGAGCCACAAAGATATTGACAAAGAAGAAAGGGAAGACCACGAAGTAGACCACATAAAAGATCGACATCTCCATGCGGTTGCTGCGGCTTGGGCCTCGGTCTTCCTCTGTCACATCTACGGAGTGCTGCAGAACTCTGTGGGGACAGAATGAGGGGCACAGATGGTGGATGACGGTCTTGGCTTTGTTAGGAAACGTGCCACCTATTATAATTTTTCATCTGACTTCTTTGACTCTGCAGATCCTCCATTAACTTTTTTGAGTCCAAACCCAAGTTGTCATATCCTGCTGCCAACAATCTGCTTCTCTTTCTAGCCCCTGTTCCATCATGCACTCAACTCCTAAGCAACAGAGGGACATCATTGTATCGTTTAGGTTGTCATGTTCAATACAAAGAGACTCCTAGATTTCCATTTAACATTTTGCTGCCAACTAGAACCTGCTGCCACCAGAAAGGCGTGTCTTAATCATTGCTAAGTCTCTGAAAAATTAGCTTTCAGCTGTGGGCAGCATAAGACCTGCATTCTGTGGTCTTCATGAGGACAGGATGTGTCTTTGGGTTTTGCCAACTCATTCTTAACCCTCAGTCCCCAGGCTCTCAAGTGCGGGGACTTCCTGGAGGATAAATCTGTCTGTAACAGCTCTCAGGGACCCTCCTTACGGGTAGGGGGCTGTTCAAAACTCATTTGTTCCACGGAAGTCAGATGGCTCCACTCAACTCCTCAATTATTGGCTACAACATTAAGAGTTTCAAATATTTCCCAGATGTTGTCATCCCCTTCTCCATTTGTGCCTGAAGGGTTTTCATTCTTCCTCTTTTCTGCCTGTCTCACCTTCTCAAAACGCCTTACTTTCCCTGATATAATAACCAAGGGTGAGCCTTGTTCATCTTGAGTCAGCTTCTCAAGGCAACCACGGAGTCCTATCACAGTCACAAATGAGCGTGCAAACAATCACTCACTGAGGCCATCCTTCCCCTGTGGAGACGGTGAAGAGGGTCAGCAGGGCCCAGATAATGTTGTCATAGTGGAATTCGTGGCGCTTCCATTCCCGGCCCTTCACCTCCATCTTATTTTTCTCATGATCTACATAGTTGCCTCTAAAACCAGAGCAGAAATGAAAGAGGGCCTTCTCACTATGGCTCACGGAAGAGTCAGCACATTCTACAGACCGCAATAACGTGGGGTAATAATGATCATCATACATGTGGAAGGCAAAAGGAGTTTTATTGAAGGCAGGTGTTTCTGCCACGGAGCAAAAACGGGATCTGATGCCCAAGAGATATGGGATTAAATCCTAATCTTTTTAGTAGTGGCTTTGTAACCTGGAGCAACTTGCTTAAACATTCTGGGTCTTAGCTACCACTTGTGTAATATGCAAATAAAACTCCCTTCAATAGCTCGCTATAGGGGTTTAAAATGAAAACCAGATGTAAAATGTCATGGTATGAGACATTTTACACTCAGGTTTTCATGTCTGCCACAAAAGAGGTGCTCAATAAAAAGTTTATGGATTCCCTCCTTTGTCTTTTTGCTAAAAGAAGAGTGGAGATGGGCCGGATAGAAAGGAAGGAGGGTGGACCTGTGGGGGTGGAGTTGGCTCATCAGGACATGCTTCAGCAAAATCAAGCCGGATGTGCTGGCAGCTGGCGGCACTTACATGCACTCCTTCTCTGTGTCCTTGGAACTGTCTGTGCAATAAAAGAACTTTCCCTTGAAGAGCTGAACTGCGATGACAGCAAAGATGAACATGAAGAGCTTGTAGACAATGAGTATGTTGAAGACATTCTTCAAGGAGGTCACCACGCAGTCGAAGACGGCCTGTGGACAGAGCAAAGAGCCCTGCTGCATGAACCCGTGATGGCCTCCACCCTTGCCTAGAGCTGAGCTGGCCACACCACCACCACCCAGCCCCGCTAAGAAGGTGTCCCAGGAGAGAGCTCCCTGCTAACAGGCGGGGGGATGCTCATGAGATTAAGGTCTGGCTTCTAAGCTGGTTATGGCTGCAAGGTCCTCCCACCTGGGATGGGAGCACATGCTCTGAATCTGAACGCAGACCCAAAGCAGTAGAAACCAGATGCTATCAAGCAAGGAATGAGGTCCTCTGTGAGATCCTGGGACGGGTACTCCGCTTAGTGTGAAGCACAGAAGTGTACAGCTGAAAAGGATCTTTGAGATTATTTAGCCCAATTTACTCTTTAAATAGCTTGTGCTTTATTTGGTGACATTCTTGGAGTTGATTTATATATGAATTACGTGTTGTTTTCTCCTTACCTTTCTAAAAGGATCGGTAATAGTACGCTATCATCTTTGTTCATTTCACTAATACGCAAGTTTATACATTTATGATTATTTCAGAACTTCATGTAAATGTTCTCTAGTGAAGGTGCTGCATTTGGGATGAAGACCAACAGAAGTAATGTGGGAAAGACCCATATACACCTTCTTTTAGAGACGGGGAGGCTGGGCAGATAGAACCAGGGACTTAGACTTCGGTTAAAAGGCCACAGACCTCCAGAGACCTTCACTCCAGGCCCTAAGCTTTGAGGAGTTTCATGGGAATTCAACACATTGTGGGTCATTTTTAGGTTATTTTCTAGGTTTTAGGTTTAGCTCACAGGACAGTCTAGGCCCACGGCGGTGCCACATTTGTGCAGCTGCTGCTTTGCAGCACTGGGTGAACCACTGCTGGTTTCATTAGTTCAACACTGCGGGGAATGCGAGTGACATGCAGCCCTATGTAGTCATCAGAGCCACCTATGTCTCCCTCAGGTTATGGAGCTGCAGAGCGAGGAGCTAGCCTTCATAATTTAACCGAATTAAGTAAGGTTGCAGGGTGCTTTCTCTAGCCTATTAACTCATCTCATCAAGCCTGTCTGCACTCTCCCTGAGGCCCACTGAACCCTCCCCTGCAGGAGCACTGACAACACTGATCAGCATCAGGGCCCCAGGGAGCCTGGCCACACTCTGTGGGGTGCGAGGCAGAACCCAATGAGTATTTATGGGTGGGTGCCAAACTGGGCCGTCGTCAGGCAGGAAGGTGGTAAGAAACAGGTGACACTGTGAGAAGGGCCTCCTCCAGTGGGGAAGGCAGGTAGCCTCGAAGGAGAGCAGTCAGCTAGGCCACGTCCTTGGGAGCGTGGGTGTCTCTCTCTGGGAGCCCATGTGGTGGGCCAGGGCCCTGGGCTCTGAGGTAGCCACGTTTCAGTCAGATCGGGGCCTCTCAGAAGTGACATTTCTTCTGTTTCATAAACCTAGTTAGTGATTGGGTATGGTGGTTCACAGCTGTAATCCCAGAACGTTGGGAAGCCAAGTAGGGCAGATCACCTGAGGTCGGGAGCTCGAGATCAGCCTGACCAACATGGAGAAACCCCATCTCTACTTAAAAAAAAAAAAAAAATTAGCTGGGTGTGGTGGTGCATGCCTGTAATCCCAGCTACTAGGGAGGCTGAGGCAGGAGAATCACTTGAACGGGGAGGCGGAGGTTGTGGTGAGCCAAGATCGCGCCATTGCACTCCAGCCTGGGCAACAAAAGCAAAACTCCGTCTCCAAAACAAACAAAAACTAGTTAGTTTTGCCCCCTTTCTGCAGAGTCAGATGGCTGAAAGGGGAAGCAGTGCTATGAGGCCTGAAGGGGGTGGGGGTGGGGGTGGGCAAAGAGTATCCGAGGTGATGAGAATCCAGTAGGAAGTGGGAACTGGGAAGCAAGGGAGAGTCCAGTGCACAAGACCCTCCCCCAGCTGTGTCCTCCGTGGCTGGCTTGGGAGAGCAGCCCCAGGCATTCCAGAGGAACTGTTGAGTTTTCTAACAGGGACCACTCATGTCAGTTCATTTTATCCACACCACGGATGTGTGAGTTACAAAGTGTCCCCATTTCCCATGTGAAAGAAAGTCAAAGAATAATTTGCCCTGGGTCATACAGCTCCTAAGTCCCAGAGCTGAGCCTGACACTTAAGTGGGTTCCTTTTAATGTTGACAGGGGTTCTCAAACTACACTGATATGCTAAGAGTCACTTGGCAAGCCAGTTTAGGAGGCACATTCCAAGCCCCTCCTACCGGGAGTCTGGCTCTGTTGTGTTTCGGTGGCCAGCAAACTGGATTTTAAGAAGTACCCAGGTGATCCTGATGCAGATGGCCTATGGCGCACACCTTGAGCAGGGCTGCATGATTCCATGTGATGTGCAGTGAGGGAATTGCATCTGCTTGCTGGGAAGTATTCTGGTGTAGCCCCTGAAGATGGGGCTTCGCTGGCTGTGTAGCCTGAGCAGCAGAAAGACTTTGTGGCTGGAAACCAGGACTCTGGTCCTCTCCCTGGCAGTGGCTCGCTTTCATTCACAGGTAATTCAGGGAAAAAGAACTTTCCTTCCATGGAGCCTCAGTTTCCATTAACAGCAAGGCATGTGGGGTAGGGGAGGCAGGTTTAACAGGCTAGCAGACTTGTGTGATAAGGCACAGGAAGCCCTCCTGAGAGGCAGAAAGGCTTGTGGAAGGTAGGGCCCCAGGGGAGGTGAGCAGGGAGAGTATTAGACAAGGAGAACTCTGGGTAAGACTCCTAGTAAAGGTCCTGGCAATAGAAAGAACTTAATTCATGTCACCTTACTTCCCCCATTTCTTTTCTTCCCCCATTTCTTTTGCCTCTGCCAAAAGTGGACTGCATGACCTTGGACAAGTTACTGAACTATCTGTGCCTCAAAATTATGAAAGGAAGGGCTAGAAGAGCCTCTCCTACTCCAGAGTTATGAGAAGAGAAAATGTCCCTGCATACTTGGCCTTAAGTAATATGCAGACCACAACACACACAGGGGCCCCCGTTGCTTCCATTCTGGTGTTCTGGGTCTGCGTTGGGGACACAGGAGGCCCCAGGACAAAGCCACACAGGGTTCCCTCTTGGATGACATGTCACACGGGAGAGTAGATACCACCTAGGTCTGGACTAAAGAGGCAAAGCTTTCTTACAGATTTCTTGGGATGTTGGTAATTTTCCTTTGAAACTAAGACCTTTAGCTCAGAAGAAAAAGAAATATTCCCAGAACAAATTCTCCAAAAGCAGGCCAGCCATGGCTAAAGAGAGATGACTGGAGGAGGGGATTTGATGGGAATGAACTCTGTAAACACTACCTTGAGCTTGGGCAAGCGCTTGATGGTTTTCAGTGGCCTTAGAACCCGGAGCACCCGCAGAGACTTGATGGTCTTGATGTCCCGTCCTTTGTTGGTTCTGCAGGGGAGAGCCCCCAGGGAATCAGATGGAATCGGGGTGGGGGGGGGAGGGAGAAATAAAAGTGACATTCAAACTATGGCATTAGTAAAAACAGGCTAAAAGGGAAGAGATATATGGGAGAGATGTAGGCAAGAAGCCAGAAACTGAGTCAGATTTGACTCCAGGGACATCCTACAAAAAATGCTTCAGGAATATTCTCAAATCACTTCCCAGTGTGCACGCATAAACACACATCCACATGCATAAACACCCACACATGCACGTACCCACTCTATATACACACACGGAGGAATATACAGGCACACAGAGGCCTCCATGCACATATGTTAATCAACACTTCCTTCCCTAACCGCCAGTCTAATGCTGCCAATTACCACACCCGCACAATGAAGATGGAAGATGCGTCAGTCAACTGGGCAACAGGAGCAGCAGCCCACCTCAGATCCCCACTGTGCCTAATCCAGTGCTTGCCCAACGACAGGTTTTCAAGTGATATTTGCTGAATTGATGAACCCACAGTTGAGAGCAAGTCTCATCAGGGTACGTGACTTAATGTAGGTTTGTCACCACTGCACAGTTCATTAGTGCAGGAGAGAGCCAGCTGAGGCAGGGTGGTGGCAGACATGACACCCTCGCTGGTCCACATGTTCCAGAGAAAGCATCTTATGCAGGCTTCTAGCCAGGACCTTGGCTCACACCCCAGTACCTCTGTGCGGCTGGCTCTTCCCACAGGCCCTTCCAGTGCAGACAGTGTGCACGTAGCACAGTCTGCAGAGACTCACTCGGCTGGAGGAGGCCCAACTGCAGGCCCAGCTGCCTTTATCCCAGCCCTACAGCCAATGACCCTCCCTACTCAGCCACTTAGAAAGGTTACTCCCAATAGCGAAAATATGTTTCTCTTGTTACTTTTAGGAATGAAATGAATAAATCAACTTCCATTTCTCGTTCTTACCTGTTCATCCCCTGAAATCTTTGCGTTCAATTCAAATAATTGTCATTTATAAAACACACAAAAGTTGTAAAACAAGACTGCAAACAGTGGAGTCAGGCTCACCCTCTTTCCTCGTGTTGACCCAGATGACTGTTACACCAACAGTCTGAGGAAATGGGGCCCACGACATCAGGTGGGAACTGCAAGGGCTTCTGCCTGCTTTTCCCCTCTACCTTCCTGCCATACCTACCCCACTCCCAACAGGGAGATGCAAGTCCCTCTACTCTTTCACAGAAAGCAAGATCAAAAGATATTTAATCAAAGTGGAGGAATGCTGACTTTGCTCAAAATGTTTATAAGACTCTTTTAATGATTATAGGCCACGACCTACAAGTTACTTTTATTCAATCCTAGATCTGAATAGAAATAATCCAAAATCATTGCACTGACACGGTCTTTAGCATCCGGGGGCTTTGGTGTATTTTACAAATTATCTCACTGGATTAGGCTCATCTGTCTACATATCTAAAAGAGGCAACATATGAGCCTAATACATATCCAAACCCGTAAGAATAATGGCTTCTCAAGAAGGCTTGGTGACTCCTAATTTTGATCTCTTGGATTTAAGTAAGAACTGACCACGTTTTCCCCAATGCGTAAGCCCCTCCCTCCCAAGCATACTTTCTCATTCCTCCAACTCATTCCTTCTATCTTTCACTTCAAAGATAATTGAACATATTTACCCCAAAGCGTTCCTGTGGAGGATCCAATCAGAGAGCAGTAGAAAATCAAAATAAACAAACAAAAAAATGGGGTTGGGGTAGAGAGAAGGCAGTCAGAACACTTCAGGGAGAAAAGAGAACCTTACAATGACAAGGAATCAGAGAAGCACTGGCCCAGGGGACCCCGCCCACAGCCTTGGCACTTAAGAGTGTCCACACCTTTGTGAAAGGAAGGGCCAGCACACCATTTGCTCCACGGCCACCGTGCCAACCTGCAGGGGCAAAGGCCCTTTGCCAGCACAAGTGACAATGCCACATAGACTTTTGGGTATTGTGCGTTATTCCATGGGGCCTAGTTTAACAGGGGGCAGGCGTTTACTTTCATTTCCTATGTAGTCGTCAGACAAATTCTGTTTCTAGTGAATTTATACGAAACCAGGCTGGAGGAACTATGCCTGCTCAGGGCCAGAAACTCTCTCACACACTGGCATGGTTGTGCTTATGAAGGGTTTCATCTGAAGAGGGACACGCAACCACTCAGAGAGGGACATACTGATGTCTCTCAGGAGCTCAGAGGAGCAACGCCAGGAAACCAACTTGAAACAAGGTGCGGGAGGCATTTGTCTGTCAACATCATGAAGTCACACCAAAGCTTGCCTTTTGATAAATTAAATGACCACCTGTCCATTGTGAGCATACCGTGCAACTTGAAGATGAAAAACCATCCCAGTTCTATGGGTGAGGCACTTAAAATAAGTCAGGGCATAAATATCTTTAAGATAGAAATAATGACAACTAACCTCTAAATTTTTTGAATATTTATTCTTTATTCTGGGCCAGGCTCTGTGCTAAGCAATTTTAGTGCAAACCTTTATTTAAACCTCCTAACTTTAGCACATAGGAATCACTATCCCCATTTCACAGAGGAGATTCAGAGAGGTTGAGTGAGAGCCTGACATCAGTTGACAGAGCTGGGACATGAACCCAAGCACATGCTATGCTCAGAGCTCTTGTTCTTAACCACTAAAGCTCCGTACCAACAGGTTTTAGTTCAAGGTTCTGTCAAACAGCGCACAGAATTTCTGAGCTGGAAGAGATCCCTGAAATCCACTCAGCTGCAAAGGAAACAGGCTGCAGGAGGAAGCGCCTTACCTAAGATCATTCACTGAGTAAGTTTAGAACCATAGGTCAACCTGCATCTCATGATTCCCCATCCTGGCCTGCTGCTAAGAAGTGCCCATAATTCAGGTTTTGGTTCTTAGCTGCAGATTGTGATGAAGATTACTTTTTATGATTTTTGGTTTTTTTTGGCCAAGGTATCACAAACCTATGTTCCACTACCGTATGTCACAAGCAAAGAGTTCTAATGGTCAATTTATTCAACCAATGATCCCATACTCGAAATTATTAATTTTCACTATAAATGCCAAATAAATGGTGATTTGGGAATTAGACCCAAGACCTTATAAACCTTAAATCCTTAATGTGATAACCTCCAAATGTTCAGAGGACAGAAATATCTTCCCCAGCATCTTCTCACATATAAGACAGGGCATGTGGTAGGTCAGCCAAACACACCTTTATTTGTTCATATACCAAGCATCTGTGGAGTCCTTAATACATGTCAGGAACTTTTCTGCATACTGGATATATAGTTGTGAACACATAAGGTTGTCAACCTTTTGAAACTTACCTAGTCTAGGAGGGAAGACAGACCTCAAGTAAACAAGCACACAAATAAAAGTATAACTGCAAGCTGCCATTGGAAAAATGAAATCATTCAATTAAAAAATTTACCAAAACAACTACATAGGTTTCCCTTTCCCCAGGCTACATTTGTCTTAAGGAAGAACTAAGGGATAATCTGTCATATCTCTAAGATGGGGGAATAGGGTAGGAGATCAATATATGAGCAGGTGATCTGGGAACACGCCCCCCAGGCTTCTGCCTTCTGCTTAGCTGAAGTCCTCATCTCGGAGACCTTTCTATCCGGCAGCATCTGAAAAGGTTCTCAGAGGTCATGCTCATAGACACCCATCTTCTGCGTGAGGACACAATATTTTCGGCTCCTCCCACACACCTGGATAAAGGATATAATTTGCTCTCCTCAATTTATTTCCCCCCAGAATCCTAGTAAAATATCACGGTATAATTCATTGTAGGGTATTATGCCACATACACTGCATAATGCATGGCATAATACAAAGTCACCACTGTCCCTTGTTTTGGAAAACAGGGTTTCTTAATGATATACTCTAATCTTAACAGCTGAGCGTGGCTGCCAAACCACTGGGGGGCTATTTGTCCCATCCTAACTCCCACAGATCTGAGCCAGGGATAGCAATCAGACACAGGCCAAAAGTAAAATAAAAAATTAGTCATTGCTCTACACATCTTTCATCAGGTTTCTTACTGCAGAGGCGCCACTGAAAAGCTATGAATTTGAATAGCTGCAGAAAAATATGCTTTCCTCCTCAGTTTTGTTAACATGGGCAAGATTTGTTAACTGATTTAAAAATTGCCATTTGAAATGAAAAGAGTACTGAATAACAAAGCCCCAGAGTCAAGAAAAGCCTCAAAATATAGTCACCGTTAATTACAATATAATTTACACCAGGCCAAAGCACTGCTCCTAAATCCACACATGCAAGAGTTACTTAAGCCATTATCAAAGCCAACAAGATTGCAAGGAAGACGTTTCACCGAACTACAAGGAGGAGCTCTTCAAGTACCTTAACTGGGGCACATTGTTTTGGAAATAATTCACGTGCATTTTACAAATCATTTAAATGTAATTGTTCAATAACACTTTGCTAATCTCTGCTACTAAATTATAAACAGAGTTGTTGTTTTTTTATACTGCCTAATTTCTATCCGGTTCAAAAATTGACTCTAATGTTAAAATCTGAGGACAATTCCACACGCTAGGATGCACTGGCCCCACTTTAATTGGGACTCAGTTGGCCACCCATTTTACCATTTATTTTCTTTTTATTTGGTAAGTTCCTGGCTGCTCTGCAGGAAAAATAAATGACACATTTTTCTCTTGTTTCATCAGTAAAAGATGAGAATTTTCTAGCTCAGTGGTCAAGCTGCTTTCCAGATCTTTTATGTGTAATCACTCAGCATTCAGTGTAATCTTGCTCTTCACCTTCCAGGTCCCCTCTTCTCAAACAACATGCTCTCAAGTTGATTTCTGCCAGGAACTGACTCTCCTACCATGGGGGCAGACCAAGGACATCAGGTTCTAAAGAACCCTTTTGCCCTCCCCCCTGAGCCAAGGAGGAATAGCTCAGGGATCTGAAGGAATCTCTTGCCTCAGGGAATGGCCAGGCTTGCAGGAGGGAAAGGTAGAAGGAGGGGTCATACTGTGAGGAGCCTCCAGTGTCTCACTATGTCTGGACTATTATTTGGTAGGCAATAATAACTACCATTTATTATACAATTACTAAGCACTTGGCACTATATCTGACACTAAATTCATTTCACCTTATTTAATGCTCATAAGACCGAAATATTATTTTGAATCCCCGTTTACAAATGAAAAAGCAGAGGTTCAAAGTTAAGGCAGCTAATAATTAATACTGCTGGGATTGAGACCTAAATGTGCCTGACTCTGAAACCTATGCTCTTATTGGAGATGTTACAGTGCCTTTCAAATGGGAACCACTGGAGGGTTTTAACCAAAGAAGGAAACAGTAAAAGGACCAGTACTTCCTGAGCTCAAATACTGAGCTATCATACTCTCTGTAATCAGTTTAGGGTCTATGAGCGTTCCTAGGAAAACAAGTTACAGACGAAACATCAAGATGGGTAAGTTCAGGGATGGCCTCCTCCATCTGCCCATAGGTCTTGTATGTTCACCAGGTAGAGAGAGAAGGATCTGCAGACTGAGGAGAGATCAATGCCAAGCCACTGCTCTTAGCTTGCAGGGGTTAATCGCTTGGAGCTAACTAGAACATGATGTGTAGAAGGGAGCTTAGCCTAATGGAGACGACACGGAACTTCAAGTCAGAACACCAAGGCTGCTCAAGAACTGGCTTTGCTACTTACTAGTCAAATGAGTCAGACTAGTCAAACCTCAGGCAATCCACTTCTCAGCTCTAAAACAGGACTGTTCAGTGATAAATAAAATAAAGAGTGTGAAAGCGCTATAAAAATTCTAAAGACCGGTGGGGAAGTTTCCCCTTTTGCACTGGCAGTGCCTGTCTCTCTAGGGCCTGCACATAAGGATATGTCCATCTGCTTCTGCAAAAATATTAAATGTAGCACTTTGACCTTGTCACTGCTTAGAGGATGCCACTTGGGGTTTAGTTTTCCTCGTGGTCCATGCCTCAGCATCTCTTGGGGTCACCCTCGAGCCCTCAATCCATTGTTACTCTGCCACCTTTCTTTGCCATGTGACCAGAGCACTAGCTCTATGCTAAATGTTTGGTGCACAATCCTTTCCCTCTTGCACATAGACCTCAATGAGCTCCTCAAACATACTCCTGAGGGCCTTTTGCAAGCCTCCTCCTTTGCCATACACAGCACCATACTCCAACTGGCACGTGTTTTTGTCTAAACACTGAGAAGCAGCAGGAGACAGTAGAGCATCTGTCCTCTAGCAGTTGTATTATTCAATCTGGTGACCAGTGGCCTTAGTTGTCTCTCTTCTTTTGTATTCTAAACATACCCGAAGACACCTCATCTGCTGATCTTTCTAAGAAGGCCTTGGAGCCAGCAGAAGTCCAGCCAATACGCCTGTCCCACTGAAGACTAATTTGAAATGCTAGGCGGTGTCCCCGTGCATGTGGATTAGGCAGGTGGTAGGCATGATCTGTGTTGATGGTCCCCAAATCCATGATGAAGTCTTCTAACCTGAATTACTCTAAAATCTACTTTTAAATCTGGAGGGCGCTATGAGGATTTTCCACTAATCCAGTAGTTGTGGGCTCTTCCCACGGTTGAGAAGGCTCACAGGGTGCTTTCTGCATCTGGGCCTGGTTGCTTGTTGGTTAACACGTGGATGGGGCCGTGCTCCATGATTGGAT